CATGTATAATTTGGATTTTCAGTGTACAGGATTACTGCAAAATATTCGAGAATATTTTTACGTGCTACATGTTAACATGCATTACATTACTGTTTTTTTTATGAAATAAAAATTATTCGTATTTAATTAACAACATTGAAAATTGAAAGCCCGAATAATAGATAGCTTTTATTCTCTTTTATTCTCTTTTTATTTTATATCCATAAAATCACTAATAATACGATTTTAAAACACATTTCAAAGATAGGCTGTCAAGTGATAAAGTTTAAAAATATTTTCCAAAATGTTTTTCTTACGTTACATAATTTGTTAAACACGTCCAAGCAGCTAATTTTTATTTCCATCTTTTTTTTTTCGCTGTTTTCAGACAAAACGCGCGTCTGGTCGCGCCACGTGAGAGATTTTTTAAGATGGGATTTTAACGAGCACGTAGAGTATTTTTCAGAGTCTTCCTTCACCAGTCGCCTTAATACTTTTCGCTCAGTTCCTCTTGCACATCGGACGTGCTCTCGAACTTTAAAACACATCCCGCCGTTCAATCTCCCCGCAGTTCCACCCTTCGCGTGCCAGGATTTTCACACGACAAAAATAACGAGATGCATTCAGTGGAGAGCAGTCGTCGGCCGCACTCGCACATATCTATAACGAGTACACGTGACAGAATGTCGTTGCTAGACAATTTGTTAGCTCCGAGTTACCCTTTCATTCATTTCATTCATTTCATTCATTTGATCTTTTTCTTCGATTTCGTCTCATTACGCATTTCCTTTTAAATTTTTCACAAATTACAAATCTTGTCAAACGCTAACGAATTTTTTTAAAAATGCATATCGGTTTTTGTAAAAATAGAAGTTTAATTGGATTCTGGTTTAATTGGATTTGTTGGCAAAAGTCATAGTGTATGTAAAAAGTACGATATTTTTTATAAATTGATACAATAAAAAATGAAGTTTTATGTGAGAATATTTTTAAATGTAACGCAGATAATTTGTGTAAAAACTTACAAAAATAATTTTATGTTTTTTTATAAACGAATTGTTTAAGTGATAGGAACGTATAGAATATTGTACGTACATTAAACTTTCAGTTCTATTTAACTTGTGCACAATGTGTACATTTTGTTTTATAAATGAATTGTTAAAATGATAGGAGCTCATAGAATATTGTACGTACAATTAAATTTTCAGTTTGATTTGTTTCGCATGTACAGTTGTTCCGCTAACAAATTTTATAAAGCATTCTTTTATTAATTACTGCAATTATCAGTGCGGTTGGAGCATCACGGATCATAGCATAAATTAATTATTTAATTAAACAGTCTTTTAATATATTGTGAAAAGGCTCTCCCAAACTTTGTGGCATTTCAACAAATAAACAAATTTATAGCATTGCATAAATTACACAAACTACACAATTGCTATTTTCGAAAATTAAATAATAGATATTTAATTAAAAAATATTCTTTTATTCTTTAATCAACTAATTAACTCTTCACGAAAGACCACGTTAGTAATGCTTGTTCTTTATCTTTTGTTATCGAATAAAGAAAAATTCAAAGTAACAAGGCCATTAATTCTAACTTTGATCGATCAGCGAGGAGACACCTTTCGCCACTTTATTGTGAACGAAACGAGTGGCGTCAATTAATCTATTAAATTAAGTGATCAGTTAAATTCCACTTTTTTCGACATTATTAACTCCCACGAAGAAAATTCGTATTTTTCAACGCGTAACTCATTTAGTTTCATGTGCAACAAGTTAATAGGCTTTTTTTGTAACCATACGTGTATACGCTAACCCGACTCTCGAAAAAAGTAAAAAGGAAGATCGTTACGTGTGTGCGAACGTTATTTGAATGAAACGTATCCGATGCGAATGATGAGAGTTCATTGCCCGTTCGCTTCTCGAATCGCAGATTCGTGATTGGTATTTACGTCGCGACCGTGTCTACCATAAACGCGAAACTATGGTGTTTATTGACGATACCGAGCGAACGCGGACTGAATGAACATCCGCAAATTCACATTTGGCGTATCTATCTGCGATTTTATAGTTACGTTCTCCTTTTTCCAAGCCGTAGTATTTTCTATCTGAAATGTGAACAAACAAGCTTAAAATTATGGTGTATTTATATTTTATTTTTAAAAAATATATAATTATTTTTTTAAATTATTTTTTGGAAATTCTTCCATTTCTCAGGTACAAAATTGGGAGTTTGAAATAGGACGAAACATTGCAGTATTTTTTATTCGATCTATCAGTTTCGTGCTGCGAGTCATTTTGAGCAAAAAGAAGCTCCTTTTGAAAACCGAGAATTTTAATCTTCACGATGCGCAGTGATCGAATCAATAACGGATGGCGCGAGCGAGACAAATAGACGTAGACTAGATAGAAATATTGCGGATGGAAGAAAAGAAAGAAAGAAGGAACAAAGAAGGCCAAGGAGAGAGATTCAATTTGGAGCTCTTTGCTCACGCGCTCGCCGATATAGCGCGTCGATAAGCCGACTCTAGCTGATTATTTTGCGAGAGTATCACGGAGTATCGGGCCGAGTTTTTCCGCCAACATGACAGCCGTCAGACCAGCATGGACTCGTTTTGTCGGTTCCTGTACAACGTTGTTATCACCATTGTCGTCTTTCTCAGGATGATCAGTGAGTAGCGAGAGCGAGACATCGATCGGGCGGATCCATAAATCATTTCGCAGAAAGAAATTGCTTGAATACTTGCACGTAAACAAGCTTTGATAAATAAACTATTAACACAAAAAGGATTTTACTGAAGTAACTAAAAATTTAGTTACACAGAAAAAATTAAAACTAATGTTCTCTTCTATCTTAAAACTAATATTCTCATATATTAGGTGTAGTAAAAAGAAATCCATTATTTTTGCACGAAATTGAATGGAAAAATGGATTTCTTTTTACTACACCTAATATTAGCAAAAATATTGAATTAATTGATGATTTATATCCATTCTAAATCTTGAACTGAGTGCAAAGTAATATTTGCATCAACACAAATTCAGTCAAATGAAGTTTAAAACAAGATTACAATATTTTTGCTTATATAATATATTATTGTCAATTTAAGAATAATTTTTTTCCGTGTAGACACAGATTTGAAAGTAATTGTTGAACTATCAAAATAATTATGTAAAAATCTCAAGCATGATGAGCGATGCTGCAAAAGTTTTGACATTGTAGCAACCAATTTGAGCTACCTACATAATTATTTTCATGATGTTCAACAAAATTATTTTCAAATTTAACTAAATTTTTAGATATTTTAGCAAAACCTTTTTTTCTAGCAAGTCCTTTCTCTATGGAAGCAGTAAAAAGTTGGGTAGTGCTGTAAAAAGTTTTGACATTCTAGCAATCAGTTTGAGTGCAGTACAGAATTATTTTGATGGTCCAATAAAATTATTTTTTTTTTATCTGTGTCTAGCTAAATATTTAGATACCATCTTTTCTGTAAAAGAATGGCTTTCGAAAAAAATGTTACTGAAATTAAAGATTCTGCACACGAAATGTGTTTTCTATTAGTATTCATTGAAAAGCTATTTGTGGATTTTTTACTGTATCGATAATTCTACCAAATAGACATGTATGTGAGCAATTATAATAATCATGCAATATAAATTCCCGCGACCGAGAGCTGTATATTAATGGACGAGCTGTATATTAACCACGCTGAATAAATTTTATTAGTATTCCATGCGAGTTACCGCGAAGATAGTCAGAATATCGCATAACCGCGACTGCAGTATTTAACTTGGCTATCTATCTCATGCGAGCTCAAAGCTTAACGCTCGTGCCATTACTCTCTGCTGCCAGATAATATCTCTCCTTCGATGAACAAGCTTTGTTACCATAATCATCGTCGCGATAGATTAGCACAAACTTAAATTGGATTTTGACTCGGTATTCGATTTCTCGTTTTTCGTAAAAAGCACAGCTGAACTTCAGACATTTGTCATGTGCCTTTGTCAGACAAGCGGCTCTCAATTTCTTAACGCTTACGTTCTTTCCTATATCGGAAATTCGATTCTACGACGTGAAATACATCTGATTCATCGGATTCCGTTTTAAAATGTTAAAATAGTGAGACGCGTTTACTCCGATATTGGAGATGGTCGATCGTGTATCACAATACCGTGTATCGGGCGACCTTTGGCGACGTCCTATGCATATCCCGACAGCTGCGGTCGATCGCATCTGCTATCATGGTCTGCCATAACTTGGAGCCTTGACCTTTGAGCCGTTCGTTATCTGTTGGTATTTAAAGCCGCGAAACCGCGCATAGTTGTGGCGAGGCGCCGCACGCCACGCGAAATAATGAGGCCGTACAAGATTTCTGCGAAGTAATACTCCTCGAGAAAACGGGGCTCACCTTATTACCACGTGCAGTCACGTCAGCGAGAGAACGGCGAATAGCTACGCATGCGTAACTCTCAAAATCGATGCCTAATTTTCTACGATGATTGCACGACAATTGCTTCTAACAATAAATCTCTCGAAGTGTTAATTTTAATTTTAATGAAACTTTGTATACATATAGATTACGTAAATATATAAATTTAGAAAATATCAGTTGGGTCAATAAACAGTTTTTGAGGGATAAAATCCCTTATACCTTATATGTAAAACAGTTTTCAATTTTTTTGTTGTGCTTTAAAACTTCAAAATATCTCGCCACAGAGATGTTCTTTTGTAACTCTTTTCAAATAAACCGCTACAATAGGGACTTTTAAAAACTGTAATATTTATTCTTTTTTGATTATTCGTTTCATCGTTTTATGTTTCATTTCTACGCTCGATTTGCGTGATCGATGAGGATTATCGTAAAAATTGCTTTGAAAATTTCTGAATAATTTCCGTCGATATAACGGGGTTGTTTTGCATTGATAATGATCTTCGATCGTTTCACTTTGTATATGTAGCAGTTAAGCAGGCACATATAAAAATAATAAAACATGCATGCGTGTTGCTCTGTTTTCAGAAAACGGCCTCCTTTCCTTCGAAAATCCCAACTATCACCTAGATCCAGCTCGGTTGGATGATGCTCTGAACAGCAATGGAAACGGTAGTTCTCTGTACGACGAATTGTATCAGGAATTGGTCGGTGGCGGTGGTAGAAGTGGCGAGGTGACTGGCGGTGGCGGGGGAGGTGGTGGAACGAGGGTGCAAGCACGCAGAACCTACGCCACATTGGATCTGGGCAGTATGGGGGTGGATGTCACCCAGGGCCCCCTGACGCAGGATTCCGTGACGGACGACGCTCCCGACAACACGGACAACCATAACCTAGGGTGAGTGTCATTAGCTCTGTCACGTTTGCTTCCTCTCTCTCTCTCTCTCTCTCTCTCTCTCTCTCTCTCTCTCTCTCT